TTCCTCCGCTCCCCCCCCCCAACCTGAAGATTATATAAACGATGCAATTAACTAACCATTTTTATTCTCCATGTCATAGTACCGGCCTGATGATGAATGACTGAAAACAATTGTTTGCCAATTGTTTTCCGTCTTAAAATGGGAATTTTCGCAGAACTACGACGATCTTCCATCTTTTTTTGAAATGTTTGTACACTTCATCAAACTCATTCCGTCGGTTGATGCGTGAATCATCGGAGTGCATGGCCTCAAGAAATTCTCGGCCTTATTTGGAGGGGCAAACTCCGATGATGCGTGTTTTGTCCCATGAGACGGTGTGTTCTGTATCAAGGCTATGCATAGCCTCTTCGGGTAAATGGTCCCGTCTCTTTTCTGCCAGTTGGTGCTCGTGGATGCGTGTGGAGACGTACCTTCCTGTTTGGCCACAATATACGGTATCACAAACTTCGCATGAGATTTTGTAGATGGTTTCTTTCTTATCGAGGTAGCCAACCCTATCCTTAGGATGTACTAGCTGGGTGTCCAAGATAGCCATCGGTTTGTGCGTCACTTTTATTTGGTGTTTCCGCAAGTGTCGTTCAATAATTTCAGACATATTCCTTATATAAGGAAGGATTCGCCATGTATTTGTTTATGGCGCCTGAGTGGAGCTATCTGGTTCCTTTTTGTTGGATTGTTGTGGTTTAATGTATCGGCGTACAAAGTCTCTGGGAAAAAAAATCAAACAGATAATTGAGGTCGACTTGGTAGGTTTCCTCGTTAGAGCAGTCTGTCTTCGCTCGGTGTAGCAGACTGTTGACGGCACTCCTTTTGTGAGAGATATGGTTGTTGCTCTCACACTGGAATATAATTTCCGCAGTAGTTTTTTTCGGGGTAAACAAACGTTTGGAATGTTCCGTCAGTTTTGCGCTATACGAATACAAATCTAGAACCTGGAGTTTATTGGTTATCTTTTTCTCGAGCGTGAATTGCATTTCCGGAATGGTTGAGTTGATGGGGTTATGGAGAGTTTCTGGTTGGTCCTGTTTCAAGACAACAAATGTGTCGTCTACGTATCGTATCCACAACTTAGAGTTAACTACTTGAAGAGCCATCGATTCCAGCTTCTTCATTGTTAATTCAGCAAGGAATCCAGATATGGGTGACCCCATTGGAGCTCCTTTAATTGCTGATAGTATTGATAATCAAATAAAAAATTGGTTGCTAGGCAAAGGTCAACAAGTTCAAGACAGGAATCCTCGTTTCGTAGCTTTTATGGACTTCTTCTGTGCATTGCCTTGCTACATCGAGTGGTATGGAGGCGAACAGGAAAACGACGCCGAAGGAGTCCTTTATCTCATCATCGGAGACTGTGATTCCCCTTAGTTTCTGTAGAAACTCTATAGAGTTCTGAACGGAAGTTACACAATCCTTCGTAAGTGGATGGAGTTGACGATATCTCGACTAATAATTTTGTCCACCACGGAGTGACGCAAATTGCAGCCGCCGATTGGCGCCAACTTTTGAAATGTTAATTGTTCGTTCCACAGCTTCTCAAGTCTCACGACGGCCTGGAGATCCAGCATCAAAAATTTACTGAATAAAGTTTCCTCATTTTCCCAAAAAACGCCTTTTGTTGAAATTACATTTCTTGGGATGCCCGTCTTTCAATTTATACGATGAATAAATCCGTGTAATCGGAATAGCCACAATCACGCACGAAACGGGATGGAAGAATTAAAATCCATGAGTACCCTAAAATTTTGCTTTATTCATCTTAAAATTGACGTTTCAGATCTAAAACTAGAAACAGACAAGTAGTAAATGAGATACAGTTCGGATAGGGCAATGCGCTATAATGACAGCCATTCATGTCGGTTACCACGTTGACCAACCCGTGCGGAGGAGTACTATAGGTGATGGCATAAGAACAGTCATGATTCGCGTTCCTCAAGTACAGGTTTAACTTAAGTACTAATTGTTGGCAGTACGGTGATGCGAATTCAGTTTTAGGTACTTTTCAATTGATTCGTAGATTTTAGAGGGAGGGGGGAGACAAGGTAAGTCACTGGAATAGGCTGCCTTGCGGTAAACGCCAGGGACTTAGGACGCGAAAGTAGCCCTCCTCGCAATTCAGCTCAAAACAAACTATAATACGTGGGCTACCTATTCCTCTGTCCAACGGAGGATACTTACACAGTTATTCAGCCGGAAGGGACAGTATTCTTTGCAACCATGTCCATAACAACTTCGTACCGAATTTAAAATTGGCCAGCCGAAGGACTTGCCCTTTATACTGTTGGCTGTGCAGCGGGCTCCTCAGTCTGGGGGTGCTAGAAGACCGTATATGTTGTTTAGAAAATTTCATGCAAAACGAGGCTGTCTGAGTAATTATCCCCTCTTCTTGCCTATGAACTATATTTTTGCTATGCATCGAATTTCGTCTTGGAAGAGGAAGTTGTTAAGCTACTTTTGATAACGGCGAAACAACGAAGTGACAAACGGGGGATGTTGACGTACATGTGGACTTCGTTCTTGTTGGTGTACTGGACATTCATCCTTGACACTTGCTTCCCATCATGTGCAGCCTAAGTGAATGGATCATAGCCATACGCTTATTCCAAACTTCGTCGATCATTTATCACTGCAACAGGTCTTCGTCGGCTAGTTTGGTAAAAGGATGGCTTACTGTAGTTCATGCGTCCGAAGGTGGTAGTCTCCGTCCAATCCTCCATCCACGCCCTCCCTGCATGGTCTGTGATTGCATCTTCATCAAACCTGAGTGTATTCATTTTACAGATAACCTTCGCTGGAAACCGTTTCAATTCAACCGCTCGCGAGTGCCTAGGTAGCCCACAGCTTAACGGCTAATGGACATACCCAACTTCCATACCGTATTTCCTGAATATGGTGACCCTGCATTAACGGTAGGTATCGTCTGTTGACTTGGGTATATGTACATATCACATGAGCATTTCCGATTAAACCAAGCAGTCTGCTATCCGTTGTCTCGACCGGTTGATAATTGAAGAGGTTGGGTTTTGGTTATAAGC